CGTGTTTTGGCACATTTCGTTCATAGAAATCAAGTAACTTGCTGCTTTTCTTTTACTCCAAAATAAAATTAATGAGTGAATAGAATAGTTAGTGAAGGAACATAAGAATGGAGTTCAAGAGGATAACAGGCGCTCTTTTTTTCTGTAGCAACAGTCAAACGTGTTCTAAAAGATGCTAATAAGTTGCACAAAGCTTTAAGGCAGCAAGTTAAGAAGAGCTGATCTTTATACAACAGAGTCAAAGCCTCACCACGCACTAAATAAAATTTAAGAAGCATGCCAAATTAAATTAGGGGAATGAATAACAGGTGCATGACACTAGACCGTCAATGCCTCTTGCTTTGAGTGCCATAGAACTACATCCTTGTACGCTAAGTTGCCTCCAAAAATGTCTAGAGCACTTCCCACTGTGACATCAACATGTCCAGATCCTGCCAATTTGATCCTCTCTAAATCAGCCATTGTGGTGACGCCACCTGCGTAAGTTACTGGAATCTGATACCAAATTACCAGAATGCATCAGCAATTTGTGCATATACAATTAAGTGCACAGAGTAAGCAAAGAATTATAGCATGTGAGATTGAGAGATTAGTTTCATCAAGATGAATTGCGGCTTCCAAAATTCTGAAAAAAAAGGTATGTGTTGAATCCACTCACTTCCTTTCTAAACTAGTTTTCTCAAGACAAGAATCAGATAGAGAAAAAGAAAACATATTAACAAAAAAATGTTAAACCGGATACTCTTCAATGAGATCAATATGATGCTAATGGAGGGAAATAAAAAAGAAGCGAGAATTTCAGACATCAACTAGATGAGCCAATTGCTTTAGGAGTGATTTGAATGAAACAAAGGCCCAAGATAGAAGAGAAAAGGAAGCACGAAATTTAAGGCTACATTAGATTTTGAAAATAATTACAGATTCAGAAATAAATTTTCCTACCGGCGAGTGTCTTCCAAGCAACTTGACAAGCTCTTCATCAATTCCTAACCTGCAATAAAGAAATATTTTGGAATTAGAATATCTTGATCACAAGCTCTCTATTCTATTTTGGCTTTGACACACTTGGTCATGCTACCTAATCCAACCTTCCTCACATCATTACAGAACCTAGGAACAAGGCTAACAAGTAACTTTGGAAAGGGAATTGCTCTTCACAAACAGCAGACAAGATTCTGATAATTGCATCCAAGAAAAGTTTAGGAATCCATAGAGCAATTGACTGCCAGGGCACCTATAAATCATGTTCTACAAAGAATTCTGTAAATGTGGGTCATTTCCAGAAAAACTTAAACCTATAAATCATGTTGAAGGACAGCAAAAATCTTGGCAATGTTGATATTAGTTCAGCTTGGCAGGGCAGGTCATTTGTGGCTACCATGTGCTCCGTCACTGCTAGCTTCCCAGACAACTTGTACGGGACTGTGCCTCTCATATGACTCCATGATTAATGATTTCCCCAATCTTAATAATCATCTTAAGTTTGAACTTCCTATGGCATTGCTATCCAAGGTCAGACTTGACGCATATGCCAATTTACAAAAACTGGCACCTTCTTCAACCCAATTTAGCCCACCACTCATTACAGCTTACAGAGTCCCCTGTAGAACCTTTTCTATTGGAAGATAAAACATTTTTAAACTAAACAACTTAGAGAACTGCAAGATTCTCTGCATATTTCTTAAAAAAACAAGTTATACCGAACTAGATTCCCAGTATTGTATAAATTCCAATGGTATATGGTAGCAAGGAAGCAACTTGTTTGACAGTATTAAAAAAGAGAAATGAAGAAGAAGCTATGTGAAATACCAGCCTTCTAATTGGTAATTGTTAAATAATCTAGAATCACAGAATAGACAATTAGAAGTTTAAACTTACTTTTTCCCTTCAACATCGACGCCATGAACCAGAAACTCATCAGCATAGTTGGCCAGAAAATCCAAAATTTTATCATCAAGATATACATCGGTGAACTTCTGCCATCTATCTGTGACAATAGCATATTTACCTTCCTGCAAATGAAAGCAGTATAGTCCAAGGTGACAACTAAAAAATGGAATATCAATAGCCAGAAAGA